CTAGATTTTTATTTTGATAGACATGGTGTGTGGGTAGGTGTGCGCGCCCAAGAGTGCGTGGGTTAGTGTGAGTTGTGGAGAGGCCCAGAGTATTGGTTTGAACTTTTTTTCTATGTTTATCCCATCTTGATAATCTAGTCTTGTGGCTTTAAAAACAATACTTACGCCCCAAGGGTACCTGAATTATACCCTGGCCAGGAACTCTTCAGGGTATATATCAGACTGGCTACTGATATATGCTGTCTTCCCTTGGCGATAAGAAAATCATGTCATAAATTGAGTTCTCACTGTAGACCACCCAGCCTGTTCCTCCCACAGCCTTTTGCCTCTACACCAATGGTGATTCCGTTCTTCAAGGGCTCGGGCTGAAATACTTAGAGCCATTCATGGTGTCTCATTGCTCGCCACCTCATGTCTTGTCAGCTCTGTCCTTGAACCTCTTCCAAATCCCACAACCCCCACTGACCCCACCCAGCCCAGGCTCTCCCGTTCTCACCTGGACTCTACCTGTGACGACCCAGCTTCTCTTCTTCCTTCAACTCTTGCCCCTTCTCTCTCCTCTTTTCAGGATTTTCTTCTGTGTCAGCCCAGGTTACACTTCTGCTGAAAATCCTGCAGTGGTTCCCTTGTTCCTGAGTTAAAGCCCAAGATGTGCCCATGCTGAGCCTGCCCCCTCTCCTCTCTACTTGCCCTAGCCACGCTGACTCTGAGCTGTTCTTTGAATCTGTCACGCACTGTCCCACCTTGGGGTCTCTGCACAATTGCTTCATCACCTGCCGGTTTTCACTGCATTTATTCAGGGTCCCATGTGGACGCTGGTGGCACACTGAGAACAGGATGGCTTGAGCAGGATTTACTATAAACTATTTACAGTTGGGCTGTTCCCTAACTTGGAAGCAACTGGCTGGAGCCATTAGTGTCTCACATAGCCTCAGCCCCTGGGCTATCCGGACACCTGTCCCTGTGGTAATTCCAAAAGAGGGCTTCATGGTATCTCTAGGATGTTCTTCCAGTTGTCACCTCCACATTCTGCAAGTTTTGAGGGACTCGATGGGTCTTGCCAGGTTTTCAGAGAGCAGCTAGGACTCGTATTCCTGCTACCTGTGGTCCTTAGGTGCTCTGGGGCCTGAAACACGGAAAATGGCAGTTGACCAGTCAAATTGTTGGAAATAATACAGTTTTCCTGGTTATCTGCAGGGAACACATTCCAGGACTCCCAGGGATACCCCTGAACCAGTGATAGTACCAAACTCTGTATCTGCAGTGTTTTCATATACTGTGTATACATATCTGTTATTGCAGGGTGACTAGCACCCCACCAGGGTAAGTTCCTTCTCAGAAGATGTGAACCGCCTGAGAAATGAAAAGTCTGAAATAATTAGTAAGAAATAGAGACAGAGCCAGAAATCAGATAGAAAGGGGAGCTCCTGATAGGTCCTCCAGTCCTGATAGGAGTTGGAAATGGACAACTTAAAAATGGCCCTGATTCTTTATTTAAGGGGGAGTAAGTACATCAAAGGCAGGGGTAAGGTTTCAGTGGGAGGAGTCTTGGCTTGGTGCTTGCTTGGTGCTTGCTTCTCCGCGTGGCAGAGGCCTTGCAGTAAACAGGTTGATTGGCATTTTGGCAAGCCACATCCATCTCCAAGAAGCTGTGTGGCTCCAGAAGGTCACCCCATCTCCCTTGCTGTGTTGAACTTGCGATGGAGCTAGGTCAGAAGCCAAATGAACCAAGTGTTCTGCTGGGATTTCCCCATACCAGACTTTCCTGCCTAATGGCTTCAACAGTGTTTTAGTTCAGTTCACAGTTCACATGGGTGGCCTCTGGTAACCCATGAGAAACTTTAATTTGTATATTAAAACTTTTAGGACATTGACACCAGCAATAATGGAACAGAACAACTGTAACACAAACCATAATCAAAGGTAAAGAATAGAGTTACCTTAGATTAGGTATAGAGGGAAGTGAAGGGAGGGGAGGGGAGGAGACATGGGCATAGGAAGGATAGTACAATGAAACAGATATCATTACTGTATGTATACATGTGACTACATGACCAATGTGATTCTACAACATGTACACTCAGAAAAATGAGAAATTATATCCCATCTATGTATGATATATCAAAGTGCATAAATGCATTCTACTGTCATGTATAACTAATTAAAACATATAAAAAATTTTAAAAGGTATTTAAAATATAAATTATTTATTTCTGGGATTTTCCCTTTCATGTCTTCATACCATGGTTGACTGTGGGTGACTAAAACTCAGGGATGAGAAACTGCACATAAGGGGGACTACTGTGGGCACTTGGCTCATGGGCAGTGTCCACTGCATCACAGGTGCCATCTGCCCAGTGCATGTCAGGATGGATGATAGAGAGAGCAGGGAATGTGAGTGGCTGCTGCAGGCAGCCTGGAATTCACAGCCCAATGGGTATGAGAGAGAGTGGGCATGGTGCCATGGACAAGACTACCCCGAAGATTCCTAGACTCTCCTGTGACACCCAAACCACAGTCATCCATGAATACTCATATTACGCAGGTCTTACATGACAACTTTTATTCATTAATATCTGCTTACCTTTAAATGGTAGGTGGCTTCTGAATTGTACTGTTGAGCATTTCTGCTCCTATAACTGGTTTAATTTTTGTGACATGTGAGGTATTTGATTTAATGGGGAAAGTTCAAGCTTTGGGAAATATTTAAAATAATACTTTCATAAAGAGAACATCTGGCAATGTGCACCTCACCCTCCGAATCATTTGCTTTTAAAAGCATGAGCTGCGATTTCCTCCCACGGTGGCCCCTGTGCTCCTCAGATGGTGTGTATGTGAGGAGGATGGGACAGAGGGATAGGAGAGAGGTGGAAATGAACTGCTCAATGGGTTCCAGGTTCTTTACTCTGAGCATTTACCTTTGCTTTCCCCTTGATTTTGAGCAGAAATTATGTCCTCCTGAATTGATCTGGACTCTGACTTTGATATTTGTTTATACCAGGAACTATTCAAAATTTTAAGTAGAGATTTGGGGGAGATACGAATTGATGTGTTTGCCAAAATTAAAAGGTAGCAGGAGGTAGTGCTAAAGGAACATGAGCAAGCCCTGTGCTTTACAGGTCTTTGCTACTGTATCAGATGGACTCAGCCCTAAGAGGTTTGATCACTTTGGGGTAATTTATTGGTGTGATTTACCCTATTTCCTGCCTTTATATTTTGCATTTACCTCTAAAATACTAACTTAAAAAAAGAGAGAGTGTGGGCAGTGAAAATTGATGCTCTAGCTTACTGTGTTTCTAGCTTTTGATGAAATCCAGGTGGCTGGACAGAGGTAAAAATTGGATTACAATGATTTGTTTCATGCTGCTCTGCTGAGTCAGTTTGCAGAAGAAAAGTGAAATTTAATGCTTCCCCTGACTAATACATTTATTATAAAATTAAGACCAGATTAGCCTTTTTGAGGTCATCCAGGCTCACTCTTCATGCCCTCAGATTGTCCTGTGATCAAAGTGCCTGATGAATCAGTGAAGCTCAGTGGCCTGTAATTTACAGCCCTCTTCTAAGGCAGGAAGAACCGGAAATTATGCTGAACAATGAAACACTGACTGTCTCCTGATAGAATGTGCTAACTTTTCCTGGGTTGAATTTTAACAAGGGGGATAGGGAAGAATGGAAATGCTCCTCTGCAGAAAAATAATTTAAATTCAGCTCCTTTGAAACTGTGGTATTTGTTCTCTTCCCAATCAGAGGCTGTTTTTCATATTTAACTCCTGTTTTTCTTCTTTACCCTTCTTTTAAAAATTATTTATTGGTCTTTTTAAAAATTTATTGGCTATTTTTAGTTATACAAAACATTAGGATTCATTTTGACACAATTATAATAAAGAAACATGGAATATAATTTGTTCCAATTCAGTCTCTGAGACTTCTCCTTTCCCTCCTGTCTTCCCCACTCCTGTTCCCTTCCCTTGAGTCTACTGATCTTTCTGCTATTTACTTATAGTGTGTTTTTAAAATTAGTGCCTTGTGGATATGCATAAAGGTGAGATTCACTGTGGTATAGTCATATATGCACACAGGAAAGTTAGGTCAGATTCATTCCACTGTATCCAAAAATCTAAAATCAGCATACTACAATAATGCAGCCACATCAATGTTTACAGCAGCACAATTCACAATAGCCAAGCTATGTAACCATTGAGGTGTCCTTCAACAAATGATAGATAAAGAAAATGTTTATATATATATATATATATACACACATATATATACACACACATACATACACACACACAAACACAGTGGATTATTACTCACCATAAGAAGGATGAATCATGGCATTTGCTGATAAATGGATAGAATTGGAAACCATCGTGCTAAGAGAAATAAGCCAGACCTAGGACAACAAAGGTTGAATGCTTTATCCTTTTTATCAACCTATGCTTGTTTTGAGTGAATTGAAGAAACTGACTGATCAGTTATCCATTGCCACTAAGCCTCAGTGGCACACAACAATAAGGCTGTTACACCTGGGGTCACTGGCTCTGGGCTGGGGCTGACCAGCTTCAGGCTGTGTAGGCTGGCCTCAGCTGGAGCAGCTGAGAGGACTCTGCTCCACTCCCTTCATCGCCCATTCTCCTGGCTTCATTAGGGCACAGAAATGCTCTCTTCATGTCAAAGGTAGAAACACAGAGCAAGCAGAAACACACCAGGGCTCTGGAGGCCCAGCCTCCTAGGAGGCACACTATCAATTGTGCCTTATTCACAGGCAAAAAAAAAAAAAAAAAAAAGAAAAGTTTAATGAGATGGGGGCATGTGTGTTCTTCCTCTGTTGAGGGGGCTCCAACGTCATCTGACAAGAAATGAGGATCCAAGGTGGGGGGAAAATGGGAGCCTTTAATGACACCATCTACCACGATGGGCTCTAAGAGACCTCTTGTTGTTAAAGTAAATAAAATCTCCCTTCTTGGTAATTTATCTTTTTCAGGATACCTGGACCTATGGCTCTCTTTGCCATCTTTCAGAAAACATTCCTCTTGGCATTGCTGTCCTGGAGAACTTACCAGAGTGAAGGTAAGAAGTGGAAAGAACAGTAAGGAAACAGGTCACTTAGAAAAGATGAGGTCACTGGTGTTTTGGAGAAAAGCAGTTTTCCCCCCACCTTTAGGAATTACCTGCAGATGATATGTAGTTCACAAGAAGTGATGTGTCGGTATCTCAAAGCAACAGTTGCCTTGGTCTTCCTTCCTCTTCCTGTGGCTCATTGCAATGCCTTAATCCTAACTTCCTGATCAATGCCTTGGTCACTAGCACAGTTGTGACCAGACCCAATCTGGGTGAAGTTCATGATCAATGTATTTACCAAGGCCATTGCCAAAGTAGTTCCTTCTCACCTTATTGGGCACGGAAATGGAGTGTGCCAGACCAGTACTGGCTTCTGAGTCAGAACATGCTGTGGTCCTTCAGCCATATTTATTCAGAAGCTGTCAGCTTTGTAAAATATAGGTGAAAGCAACAAAATTTCATGAATCAAAGGAACCCAGTCAAATCTCTGCAAGATATTAAACTTCGTGCTGAAAAGCTGTTTCTAGATAAAGAAATAAAATTTGTCCATTTGCTACTTGCCAATAGAGGGTATTTTGAGATAAATCGATTTTGTAAATCAGGTCAAGAAAAATTCAACACTTCTCAAAAGTTTACGGACTTTGAACTTGTTTAAAAGGAGATCGACTTGAGAGAGTTTCTGTTGGTTCCTAAATTTCCATTGCCTTCATCCCTATTTTCCGAGACTTTACATTTCCTCTTCCTCTGTTTATTCTGTGCTGGCTTTGGAACAGAGAGTACAGCTCTCTCCTCTTAGGAATCACCCACCCAATTCCTGTCCGTGGATCCTGGAAAGTGATACTTCTAAGGAATGTGCACAGAATTTCTCATCATTTCTTAAAACTTCCAAATAAAAAGCTGTTTGGGAAAAGGAGATTTTGTTCTGATAATAAATAGCTCTGTTCTCTGCCTGATGTGCTTCAGATCTCATTTGTTTTCAGTCCACGACACAAGGGGAGATACTACTTCTTATGACTTCTTAAAAATAATTATCTGTTGATTTCTCCTGTGATCTGGGCTATGAGGTGGCAAGAGGATTTCTCATTTGGAGCACCTTGACCTCTCTCTCGAGAGCAGGCTGAGATTTGCCAGCTGAGTGGGGAGCCTGCCCAGTGAGAATGCTTTGTCCTCCGTGCTCCTGATTCTGAGACAGTCCCACCACCCCAACTCCAGGCTTTCCAGGCCACCCCCGCCATCAGCCCCAGGTTTTTGGCACAGCTTTTCTCTCTAGAGAAGTCTCACTACCTGATTCACTATTCACTATTGACGCTAGGCCTTCGGCTCAGACCCTCTGCTCTCAGAGCAGGCCCTGCTGCCCACTCTTCCAGCTTCTTTTGTTAGATCAGTCCTGCATTTCCCTATATTCCTACTGGTCAGGCTTTGCTTCTACTGCCCGCTCATCTGCCAAGCAGGACTTCTTTGGTCAGCTGGTCTGGTCTTTGTCCTCACCTGTATGGTTTGGATTTCTTGTTTTGATTTCTGCGACATTTGCCCAAGCACCTACTAAACCTTCACTCAAATGAGTGGGGTTCCCACTCAACCATCCAGGTGCAGGTCTGAGAATCTCCTTCAGATAACCTGGCCAAGCTACCCCCAGTGAGACAGCACAAAGACTCTCTTCAGTTAAGCCTGGGCACATGTTTCCATCCACCAGAGGTTATGACTGCAGCATTTTGGTGTATTTTCCTCCACTTCTGTGTCTATATTCCGTAGAGATGCACATATGTAGTTTATAAAATTATATTTATATATATATATATATATATATGTATATATATATACATACATACATATATATCTTGGGGGTGTTTTGGTTAGTTACACAATGAATACAGCTTGGGTGAGTGCTTCACTTTGATACTAAATTGCCATCTAGAAATAACACCCTACTTCAGTGCTACATGGCATCCCACCTTGTGAATGGACTGCAGCTTCTTTCCTCAAGCAGTTCCAGGCCAGCCAGGGAAACAGTGGGAAAGCAGGAGGAGAATCAAGTCCAGGTCTGATTCACAAGTCTGGCTCCATTCCAGTGTGATGCAATGGGAGCCGGAGCTGGGAACCAGGAGCCCTGGGTCTGGCCTGGTGTTTGACCTTGGCAAAGTCACTTCCTGATTTTTAACCTCACCTCCCTCATCTGAAGAACCAATAGGATTGGATTTAATAATTTTTATGGTTCTTTTAGCTCTCACACTTTACCTGGCATTTTATTGCTTTTGACCAAATTATTTCCGATTGACGTTACCGAACAAGCCGAGTACTGCTGGTTGCCTAATTTAAATTATGAAGCTTTCCGTATGTCAAAAGCAACATGTCAGAATTTTCTAGAGCCTTTGGAAATAAAGTCTGTAATGGTAATTGACCCACTCATTCTGCAACCAATCACAGAATGTCTATACTGGTATGGTATTAGTCTCTGTTTTCCTGAGCTGAGTAAGTCTTAGTCACACCCTAATTTATGTCATAGCCTACTGAAGACAAACACAGAGGGTAGCCTATGATGACATGCTGTTATCAGTGCTCCAAACAAGGGGTGAGAAAAACCATGGCACAATGATGTATTCTGAAGTACCATTATAACAGAGCAAACCTGGTGTTTTAAAACAATATTTATTTTCAAATATAACATATTATATGATTATTAAACTAATACATATTTCCAAAGAACATTTGCCAAAACATTTGAAGAAATGTGCAAAGAAGAAAATTAAAATCACTCAACCTCATCATTTAAAAATAATGACTGTTAACATTTTAGTTTTACTTTCCTTTGTAAGTTAAAAAATAACTTATCTATTTTTTAAAAAAATTCAAGATGGGGTGCCTAATCCAATTTTTTTTAGAAGTATATGTGTATTAGTCCATTTCTGTTAATAAAAGAAAATACCTGAGACTGGGTACTTTTTTAAGAAAAGAGGTTTAATTAGTTTACAGTTTGGAAGCTAAAAAGTCCAAGATCAGGAAGACCCATGATGTAGGTGTGGAGAGAGAGAGATTATATAGTATGACAGAAAACCAAAGATTCAGGGAAAAGGCTCACACCTCCTCCCACAAGGCCACACCTCTTCAAGGTTTCACCACTTCTTAACATTACCAACCTGGATATCAAGCTTTCAATACAAGACCCTTTTCTGGACATCCTCAAACCATAGCAGTATGGAAAAGTTTGAGAAAAACATGATTTAAACTTGGTGACAGAGTGAGAATGGAGTTGGTGGGATTATAGGGAAGGGGCTCAACTTCTATAGTATTTCAACATTTTATCATGATTACGTGTATTTAACATTTTTGAGGTTATATTCATATAACATAAAATTAACCATTTAATAATTAAAGTGAGTAAATTATTGACATTTAATATATTCACAATATTATATAAGCATAACATTTAGTTTCAACACAAATCCGTTACCTCAAAAGGAAACCCTATGAAACAGTTACTGATTCCTCTCTCCCCAGCCCTTGGAAACTACCAGTCTTCTTTCTTATCTACGGATTTACATATTTTGGATATTGCATATAAGTGGAATCATACAATCTGAAACCTTTTGTGACTGGCTTCCTACACTTAGCATGTTTTTTGAATTTCATCTAATTTGTAGCATTATTCATTTTCCTTCCTATGAATGAGAGTCCTTTGTATGGACATGATCCAGTTTATTCATTCATCCATCCACTGATGCACCTTTGATTTATTTCTACCTTTTGGCTGTTATTAATGATGCTACTACAAACATCCACAGGCAAGTATTTGTTTGAGTCCCTACTTTTAATTCTTTGGAATATAGTCCTAAGATTGGAATTGCTGAATCATACTATAATTCTCTTTTAATTTTCTGAAGATCTGGCAAAAAGCTTTCCCATAATGATGAGCCATTTTACATTCCCATCAGCAATGTACAAGGGTTGCAAGTTTCTCCATATTTTCTGCCAACAATTGTTATTTCCACTTTCTTCTTCTTCTTCAAACCATTCTGTGGGTGTGAAACGGTATTTCCCTGTGGTTTTGATTTACCTTGCCTTCATGACTAATGATGTTGAGCATATTTTCATGAGCTTGTTGGCAATTTGTATATCTTCTTTGGAGAGCTGACCATTCATGTCTTATGCCCACTTTTAAACTGAGTTCTTAATCTTTTTGTTGCTGATTTCTAAGGGTTGTTTATATTATGTAGATGCTAGAACCTAAGCAAATATGTTATTTGCAATTATTTTCTCCCATGTGTAAGTCACCCCTTTACTTTCTTAATAATGCCCTTTGATGCACATTTTTTTTTTTAATTTTAAGGTAGGTCAATTTGTATGCTTTTCTTCTGTTGTTCGTGCTTTTAATATCACATCTAGGACTCACTGCCAAATCCAAGATTGTGGAGTCCACCTTGAGCACTCCCACCCTCCCCATCTCCTCACCTTTACAAAATGTCCCAAGGGATGGGTTACTTTCTGTGAAAGTAGCTGTTGTTGGCTAATGTCCTTCATTTTATGGTTATTCTTCTTAATTTTACTTCCCTAGAATCTCTTGTCTGGAGTTTTCTTCCACATTCTGATGGTAATTCCTTGTCTGGATCTGAAGCTTTGTGCCAAGTGGACCAGTCAATGAAGGAGCTTCCTTCTTGTCTCAGCTCCTCAGCTTATCTGGCTCCATCCAGAGCCCCATCCTGTCGTCTGTTTCCTGAGTGTGGGAGTGTGGCAGGACATTGGTGGAGCCATGAAGTATCCCTCTCGGACATTCCAAACCATGAGACCTTTGATTGGACAAATTTTCCTGTCTTGACTGTTGGAGGACAGTAGAGCAAAGGGCAGCACAGGTTCAGCATTAAACTGATCACGGTTTAAATTCCATATAAATTTTTTGAAGTTGTTTAACCTCATGGAGCTTCAGTTTTCTTAGTATTGTCAGCTGGGTGCAGGGGCACATGCCAGTAATCAGAGTGACTTGGGAGGCTGAGGCAAGAGGATCTCAAGTTCAAGGCCAGCCTGCATGACTTAGCAAAACCCTGTCTCAAAAATAAATAAATAAAAAGTGCTGGAGGTGTAATTCAGCAGTAGAGCCCTCCTGGGTTCAATTACCAGTACCTCAAAACAAAAACAAAATTTAAAAAAAGTTTCTGCCTTACAGTTTTACAGTATTACATGAGACCACATAATATAAAGCAGTAGCGCTGTGCCTGGCAAATAGTACATGTTCAATTGTGTTGTTATGTTTCCTTTCCAGTTTTAAAAAAAAAAAGCATATCACAAAAATTTGGGGACTCTCTTCAGTATTGGAGATAGTGTCCATTTTTGTTGTACAAAGAGACACTCTCCTCAGTTTTTTTTTTTTTTTTTTAAGGGAGCAGATGCTGAGAATTAAACTCAGAGCCTTCCTCATGCTGAGCACATATTCAACCACTGAGCTATCCCCTCCCCAGTCCCTCTCTTGCCTTTTAAACTACATGCCAGAGCGTTTCATTTCACTAGAGCAAATTCTTAAGGTTCTAGAAAAATGAATGCCTAGCAGGTGGTACCTGTTATACCATCGGTGATCAGACACCAGCTGATTTTGTCAAGTCTTTATCTTTTCAATTCCTTCCCACCATTCCCAGCTTACCTCAGATCCTTTCAGTCCAACAATTGAAATAGTTGAACCAGCAACACACAATTCTTTTCAAATCTATATGGCATGCCCTCCTCCTGAGTGGAAAGCCATGTTTTGCTGCTCTAAGAATGAGCAGCAACTTAACTCACTCAGGGCTCATCTTTTCTCTGCTACCAGTGGTGCCAATAATGGTTTAAAGACAGTCAGTTTGAGAACTATTGGGCCGCTTCCCAAGGTTAATGACCTCCACAAATCTGTTCAAATTTGAATTTTTTTTTTTTTAATTCTATGCTGGGGATCAAACCCAGGGCCTCACAAATAGTAGGCAAGCACTATACCACTAGGTTATATCCCCAAGCCTGAATTTCCTATTTTTTTACAAACTCTATCATACCACCAACTACCCTAAACTATAGTGTCTAATCTTTCATGTGAATTTGTCTTTTCTTTCCACGTAAGTTCTTCCTGCAAGCTAGGAACCTTATCATAAGTATTTTGTTTCATACCAAGTGCCTCATATACTGCTGGTCTCATCCAAAGAGTTCAGTAAATTCTTTCTAGAGGGCTTTTAAATTCAATACACCAAAATGCAAGGGTCCATGTCTAGAGATAGGCTATGCATCCACTTCATAGCTTTTTTGTAAACATTTTAATTCTGGAAATATGAAGTTTATAGCAACATATTCTCTTTCTTTATTTAGCCCTGTTATGAATTTCAAACCAATTAGATTGTCCAATTTAGATTCTCTGGTTTTGTCTGTTTATTAGTTTATTAACTTGCTGTGTACAGCTAAGCAAGTTATTTCATTCATCAAAATCTTAATTTCTTCCTCTGCTAAGTGGTTTCTAAATTTCTTCCCAACTTTTCAAGGTAACTGATTCTAGGTTGCCCAAGTGAGGAATATTTTTCTAGACCAAACAATGGTGATATGGAACAGTTTAACTATCTATGATTATTCACCATGCTGCTATTAAATGTCATTTTGTACCTTTCTTTGTACTTTCAGTCTTGGCTGAATATTTATCATTGACTCCTGAATCACTTAAAGTCTTCCCCAATTCTGCATGTCAGTGTTTGCAGTTACAATGGAATGTCCACGGAATTCCTTATCATCAGGAATTGAAAATGGTATTTCAGATGGAGATCAGTAGAATTAGACCATCCAATGTCATCTGGGTGGTAAGTATTTTTCTTGGGGGCTCAATATTTTTAATATCCTTCCATGATTTATCTTTATAACATCTACAAAGTCTGCAAACACATTAACAGCTCCAAACAGTTTTTCTAAACAGTTGCATTTCTGTGTTTTTGGTTCAGAGAATATCCAGGACAAAGTAACAATGGCCACTTTGGTTTGATGGGATGTTTTATAAAAACAGATTATTTTCCCAGTTCTGTTCTTTCCCGTAAGAAGGCTATTAGGCCCATTCTTGTGAGTACTAGATTCCTAAGATCCATGAAGATCATTCATCTTTCTTCCCTTTTTTCTTCTTTGTCCACCACAGATTTTCATGAATGTTTTATTTTGGTAACATTTTTCTTGCCAGTGTGGTTTCCTGTCACTTTCGTTGCTTATACCATGTTGAAATGCAAAGAAAAGTAAGTAGCAGTGCTTCATGTTCGAGCCAGCAAAGAGGTTCTCTATGGGCCCAGTTGGAAAATAACTTAGTGCTTTTTGTCTTCTTCCCTGTGGGTTTTCTACTAAAAAAATTAAGTTAAGAAAATCTTAATTTCACTCCTTTTCTCTTTGGATTATTTGGAGTAGATTTTCACTCAACGTGGTTCAAATTAGGGTCATGTCTGTTGTGCCTGACATTTCTAGTGCTTTGGGACACACTACCATTTCTGCTCTGGGAAACCTTAATAACAGAAGGGTCTGCTATTATCATGGAAGGTTTAAGGACAGTGGGATGTTCTCTTGTTGAAGGAACCCGAGATTTTCCCTGGAAGCACAAGACTGCTTGGGACCTTCCTTAGCCCAGTAGAGGTCCACCTTCTCTCAGGCAGAGGAAACCTTGGGTGCAGGGATCCAGGATGTTAGTTCCTTTAGTAAAGCCCAGAGGTTACCATGTTCCAAGGCTTCAGCTGCTTTCTTTCTCCATTGTTGTATTTGACATCCAAGCAAGTAGCCTGTGATAAGTAAAATCCACATAGGACTCATACCAGGTCTATAACCGACCACTCCAAAGTCAATTTCCTCCAATGAGAGTTGTTTAGTGTGCTGATTTTAAACAGTGGTAATGCTGTGTAGCTGTCCACTTCCACCATCAGCTCGCCTTCCCACCACTCCCCTCACATTCAAGTCTGGGTTTTTTTTTTGTGTGTGTGGTTTTAATGCATAAACTGGTTGTTGATTTGGGCTGGAAAAACATTGAACAAGGGTCTTATTTAGGCTAAGAATGGTCCAAGAAAAAGAAATGTGGGGGGAGTCCTGGAGGGATTTTAAAAAACTATCCCTTATTGCTGTTAACAATAATAACATTGACCCTGAAGCAAGTGTATCTTATGCTGTACTTTTCTAAAGTTCCTATCTGTTGTCATGTCAGTTGTAGTGTTGGCCGACTGGATCCCCCCTTTTCCCCCACAGCAGTTTTTCATGTCTGTTTTCACATTAGATCCATGCAGTAGTCTCTTTGCAAGGTAGAGCAGCTTGTGGAACCAACTTCCCTAACTTATTAGGATTCAAGATCTTTAAGACAAGATTTTCCTTGTCTGTTGTGTTGTTCTCACAACACCCAGCCTAGCCTGATGACCACAGAGGAGAAAGTCACAGTCCAGAGAGATTTGCTGTGTTCCTCAAGGTGACAGAGACAGGGTGGTGTCATCATGTGTCTACCCAACAGGGAGCACAGCCACATCCCCGGGCCATCAGTGGATAACAGAATAACAGATGTTGCCATGAGAAGCCTTTGTCTGACTCTCTCATGCCTCAAGTTGAGGTAAGACGTAGGATTCTTCCCCAGTTACAGAAGAGGAAGAAAGCCAACCGAGCCAGAGAGGCTGCTTCCATATGGACAGTATTCTCCTCCCCTTAGGGCAGATTCCACAACACAGGCCTGAGAGAGCACCCTCACTCATGCTGAGAGGAGCACTGTTTCAGATTACTGTGTTCCCAAATGAGACAGAAGAAAGGCATCTTGATCCAGGTGCCTAGAGCAGGACCAGGGCCACCTCCTGGACAGTGCTGGCCATGCAGAGCCCTGCTGGCAGACTCACTACATCACCCTGCCCTGGGCCAATGTTCTGCCCTTCCCTTCCAGCCAGTTGCCATGTGATTTTGTCAACAGCAGGAATAGGCAGAGTGACAGACAGCTTAAGCTTGGAAGGAGGCCCAGAGTGTGAGTCAGGGATAGAGCGCATGCTTCAGCAATGAATCAGGGACCTCAGTGAGACATCTGTGTCAATGTGTGTCTACCCATTACTAATGGCACCCAGTGCCAAATTAAACTTGCCCCTTCAATGAATAAAAGTGGCCCAAAGGCAGTTCATTATACCCAGTCTGCCCAGTTGTCCAGTCTGGTCTTGAACTTGTGATCCTCCTGCCTCAGCCTCCCAAGTCACTGGGAATTCACACATGCATCACCACATCCAGCCATCATATTTTTTACAAATCACTGCATTGGAGCTGGGGATATAGGTCAGTGGTGGAATGCTTGCCTGGCATGTGTTTGATTCTCAGAACTGTGTTTGATTCCCAGCACTGCATATAAATAAATCAAATAACGGTTCATTGACAATTTAAAAAAAATCACTGAATTTCTGTATCCAAGGATTGTTTTATCCTTTACTTACAAGTCTGTAAAGACCACAAAGCACAAGTTGAGATGACAAACAATCCACACAAAGTCTCTTGGAGAAACACAACACTGAAAATCAATGATGTAACTAAATCACTCATTACACAGTATTTATAAACTCTGGGTCCAGGTAGAGCATTGTGCAAGGTGGGGCATACCGGTGCTGAGCATGCCAGCAGAGAAAAGGGGATGCACATACAAATAGACTGTTCTAAATGTGGGGTGTGCGTGCAGGTCATTGACAGGCACTGTGGGATTGGGGTTGACCTCCTGCAACTTGGATGTAGGGTTGTTTGAGCCAAAATATGAAAGAGATCTGGAAGTAATTTGGTGGGGAATGTGGAGAAAGACTCTCTGGGAAAATCTGATGAGTGGGATCAGAGGCCTTAAAGTGGGGTGGCGGCTGGAGAACTGCCAGGCCTGGATTCAGGGTGCTGTGTGGGAGCTCTGACCATGTGGGGACAGGCCAGGACAGGTGGGACTGGGGCCTCACTGCACAGAGCCATGGGAGACACTCAGGTTTTGCTTCTTATCCAAGAGCAATAAAAATAAGGGCAGTGGCAAGATCTGATTTGAGTTTTTTAAAAGCCCGCTCAGCCGCACAGTGGAGAACAATTAGGAGAACAGGAGAAGCAAGAGAAGTAGCTGGGAGGAGTGGGCTTCAGGGTTGGGCCAGGGACAAGAGAAGGGGCTGAATTTGAGGGAGTTGCAGGAGGTAAAATCCAGTCTGTGCCTTGTTGACATTTAAAGGACTATTGCTATCATTAACATAATTCTTTAAAGTTCTTTTCTTTCTTTCTTTTTCTCTCTTTCTTCCTGTATTTGCTTTTATATTAAAAATGTGTCTTATGATCTAAGAATAAAATCATTCAATAAAGTGAAATAAGCACTTAAAAAATCACAGTTTGTTACAGAGTAAAAAAGAAGTATACAATTCAGTACCACTGAGTGGGCCAGGGTGTCCTGATTCCAGAAAAAGTCCCAGAGAAAGATTCCAGAGAAAGTCCCAGCTGCTGCCTCCAGGTGGTATGTGAAATGCAGGTCACCCCAGCCTGTCCATTGAGACTTATTTTCCCTTAGATATGTGGGTGCAGATGCAGATTCAGGTTCCCCAAGGAAGTGCAAAGTATGTATTGCTTCTATTCCCAGCTGTGGGAGCAGAAAGTAGAAGTCATGAGAGAGGTACACTGAGAAGAATGAGTGCTGAAAGCCATGGGGGACACAAACAATAAGGAAGCATAGTCCCTGCTGTTTCAGGACCATCCTAGAGTCACAAATCAATACCAAGACCCAAACACAATTTTCTTGAGAGCTTCAAGGAAGTGGAGGTTGGAGGAATTAAGAAGAAAGAGCAAGAAAGGTATAACCCAATAGTAGAATGCTTGCTTAGCATGAGCAAGGCTCTGGGTTCCATGCCCAGTACCACTGGAAAAAGAAAATCTCATCAAGGAGATAGGGCATGACCTGGAAGTCAAGAATGACACTGATTCTTAATGCAGAGGGAAGTAGGGTAAACTAATCCAGAAACACTGCATGAACAAAGAGCAAACACCGAGTTGTCAAGGAACAAAGCATATCCCAGATATGTTGGAATATGGTTCCAGAGAGAAGATTCTTGAGAGATAGAGAGAGAGAGAGAGAGAGAGAGAGAGAGAGAGATTGGTGGATCCGGTTTGTAGACGACCTTGAATGGCAGGATAAGATGTAATGGAGCCATTGGAGCTGTTGAACTTGAGAACAGAGACACCAATGTCTTGGAAAGATTAAGACCAAGGGCTGTGCCAAAAGACCAAGTTACAGTTCAACCTGGACAAGCTTCTCAAAGAACAGTGTAAGACATTCTATGTGATTGACATCTCTAGGAACAAAGATTCTGACAGATGAAGTTCATCTTGGGGTTATTGGTCCACACATCCACCATATCTGAAAGACAGAGAAAATCAAGGGTGACATGGAGAGGTATCTGTTGACTTCTGGAGACAATGAAACTTCTAGGGTGCCATGAAGGACGGTTCTTTCTACTGAGATTTGGCCAATATAATCTACTCCTGGTGAAAAATGAATACTTAAAAACAACTCAATGACAAAAAAATGACTCAATTCTCTAGTTTTTGGGAATCTTCTTTGCAGGTTCTCTAACTGGCTCTAAGAACACCTTCTGTTGCTAATCTTCTCCCCAAGACTTGAGTGATCTCTGTTTCCTCTCCACTTGCTTCACATGGTCCCCTGGAGTTGGAAAGCCATAGGGATTGAGAGCTGAGTTTTCAAGAGGCAGGAGGCCAGTTTCCCACTGCTGAAGCATCAGGGTCAGGGAGATTGACGGGTTGGGGACAGACTTCATTGGTACATGTGGTGGAGCTGTAATGGGGTATAAGCTTGTGCTTTGGGGTAAGTCAGGTTGAGCTCCTTTTCAGAACAGGATGGCTATATGATTCCAAATATTTCCTTTACTTTCAGGGGAATTATAGCACCACAGTGAAGCGGGACCAAGTTCTGCACTGGAGATGGGAATCTGAACTCCCTTTGGAATGTGCAACACATTTTGTAAGAATACAGAGTATGGTGGACGATGCCAAGTTCCCCAAACTGAGTATCTGGAGCAACTGGAGCTCATGGGAGGAAGTTCATGGTAAGAAGTGAGGTGGTTTTTGAGCTGGGCATAGTGGCACATGCCTGTAATCCCAGAGGCTTGGGAGGCTCAGGCAGGAGGATCATGAGTTCAAAGTCAGCTTCAGCAATGGTAGGCAGTAAGCAACTCAGTGAGACCCAAAATACAAAATAGGGCTAGGGAAATGGCTCAGTTGTCAAGTGCCCCTGATTCAATCCCTGGTACCAAAAAAATAAAAATAAAAAATAAAGCTAAAGCAACATCAACAAAAACCTCAGATATCTGTCTCTCCACAGCAAACTTTACAACCTTGCTTTTAGTTCTAATATAAGCCAATCTTCCCACCCCGTTGTTTTAAGGTAGCAAGAATAGCATGAAGTAAGATGCAGATACACTCGACTCTGGGCCTCCCACACGGCTGCTCTCTATAGAGCTATTATGTTCACTTAAAAATGGCAATAATACAGGAGTTGGCAGTGGCACTGGTAATGTGCCATCTTTGGCAATAAAGGCAACAATGGTGGTTTTAGTGTGACAATAGGAGCCCTGGTGAAAGCATTGCCTTATATGAACCAAAGGATATTGGTTTTGGTGTAGAAATTTAGACTTCTATTTTCCCCAGGAAATGAAAATAGCTAAAGCCATCTTCTGAGGGTGAGGTAGGAGGGGTTTGTCTCAAGTTCTAAATGAGATTCTAACCAAGATTTTTTGTCTTGCAGTTCAAGATTATCCTGGACCAAGTACATTGTTAGTATTTCCTAAAAATAAACTGGTAGAAGAAGGCTCCAGTATTACTATCTGTTATATTTCTGGGATTAATCACAATAACATAACCTGCTACTTGCATAATGAACTGATTCATGGAGAACAACTTGATCCAAAGGCTTCTGCATTCAAGTTGAAAAATGTTTCTTTTTTTAAGAGATCAGGGACAAATTTCTTTTGTAAAGTGAACCAAACAGACATTCAAAATGGCACCACTTTCTTTGTGTCAAGTAAGTGTACAATTTTTGTTTCCCCCTCTTCTCATTTTCTGTGGAGTGTACTGACTCTCCTTTACCAGAAGACAAGTAAACATTCCCGTGAATGATCTTAGTTTCCTTTTGTTTCCCAAGTCTTCTAGGAGAGATTCTGAAAATGGAATTCCAAAGCAATGTTTCCAGGATTTCCTGTTGTTTCCTTGCCCATATAAACAATTTTATTCCTAGAAACTGACAGGCCTAAAAGAGAGAAAGCTCAGGTCATGACCTGGACTTCTAAGGAAATAGCCGACTCTGCCTCAGCTGGAGTGGAATCAGTTATCTCAGGACCATGGAGGGAGGAGGGGGCTGCACATCATCTGACCACAGCAACACAGTCAGGGTGGTGGCCCAGAAGACGTGTGTCCAAATCGTGCCCTGGCTGGGCCTGTGCTCTTGGCCAAGTTTTCTAGCCTTTCTGAGCCAGTATGGGGGTGATGGTGGTTGGGGGTTTATGACCATGGGCAGTGCCAGGCCTCATCGCACTGGTGGCATATACCAAAATTTCAACAAATGGTGGCCATTCTTGTTCTAAATTGTGGGGAAAGTTGACTCTGTGGGCTATATCAGTAGAGTGGGGACATGTTGCCATTTCTGCAGGTCTCTTGTGTGCCCACTCAGTGGCCTCCTGTGCTTTGTCTTAAGTGCCCCATTTCCTTGTACTGTAGGACAATATCTGTGACAGCTCTCTTCCTCCTTCTATTGTCAAAGTGGATAATTCCAGTGTCTTGGGATTATCTGTGTGCCTTAATGTGGACACTGGGAACAGTAGTGGTTCCAGCATCCGAGAGGTGCTTTGCCATTTCTTGGGACTCTCAGCTCCCAGCTGTTGAGTTTATTCAGGTCACAGAGTCTGACTTTCTAGCATCTTCTGGGCTTTCTATAAGTCACATCACCCAAAATGAAACACCAAACAGGCACTAGGGACACATCCTCTCAAATGGACATGGTGCCAACCTCTTACATAACACTGACCACCCATTCCCATGATACCTCAGAAAATCACAGAAGAGGGGCTTCGGAAGGATGAGGTGCCTGTGATGTGACTTTATTGGGCTATTGATATGTGGACTTCCACTCTGAATTTTCTTCATTGTTCTGAGTAACCCTATGGCTTCAGATCCCGACCAGAGCTTTCCATTTAATCTGTCTTTCAATAAAAGTGTTTAATTAGGTATTTCATCTGTTTATTTTCTTTGTTCGGGTAGAAGTACTTGAGGAACCCAAGAACTTTTCTTGTGAAACTCAGGACTTCGAGACCTTGAAATGTACTTGGTATCCTGGGGTGGACACTGGCTTGGATTGGAATATACAACATTCCCAAAGCTACACTTTATTTGAATCGTAAGTTAGCTCTAGTTGTATTGACAGATTCTTCCTTGTTTGTGATGTAGGTGACAACAAGCTACACTTAGATGTTGTATACAAAAATGTTAGAAAGTTGATACAAATGTTTCCAATTACCTGCCAGGGTCAGGAGGAAATCTTTAAGTGATCACAGGTGTATCATACTCTCTACCTGAGGGGTTTCTTTTTCTTCAAAAATATGTACCATAGAAATAAGAAAAATAGTTCATACTATATATTGATAGAGTTGCGCATGGTAGTGCACACCTATAACCCCAGCTACTCTGGAAGCCGAGGCAAGAGGATAAAAAAATAAAAAGGGCAGGGAATGTAGCTCAGTGGTAGAGCATCCCTGGCTTAAATCACCAGTAGCACACACAGAAAGCTGATTGATGTTCTCCCCTCTGAATGAATCAGCAATTCATTAATACATTTAATCAAATATAGCAAATACATAGAAACGGTGTTTTCATTACTGGTATCTTAGTAATGGATCAATGCCAATATGTGGAATATTGTTTTAAAGTCACTCCCAAGGGACAGGGAGAGACATCTGCTTTGACAAAGGAGTAAACCCTTTAATTGTTGTTTTGTTTTGTTTTGAAGATTTTCTGGGAAAAAACAAAGTTGCAAACACAAAGACTCGTGCGATTGGAAAATAACTCAAGATTCACAAGAAATGTATAATTTCACGCTCACAGCAGCAAATAACTTAAGGAAGAGAAGTGTTAATATTATTTTTAACCTGAGTCATCGAGGTGAGAATAGATTTGTTACAGCAACTGTGGCCACCAACATACCTGACTGTACGATCGAGTAAATGTGATGTAGGATTTTTGCCTAATACACAGCCTAAGTGAAAGTTATAATCTATACCCGCTGTTCATGCCACACTTACCCTTGAAGATGCATGCACCCCTATTAATTGTTTATTTGGATAATGTTTTAAGCACCTAGTAGCTTACTAACCAACTTAAAAACCAGGACTCTGACATAAACTTATTTCATGATCTATTTCACTGCCTCCCTACCGGTCTCCTTCCACCAAGATTATTTTTTGTTTAAATTGTGTATAGGTGTGTTTGTGTGTATTCTTATTTTTTATTTAATTCTAAAAATAATTCAATCTTGTTTGGTTTTAATGTGTATGAAGGATGTCAATCTGTGTGTAAGAATCTAGTAACTGCTTTTTATAGAATATTAAATGGCTAAGATTTGCTCATATTGTTGAGTGTTCCTAGTCCATCCATTTACTACAATATAGCATTTCATGTAAATATACGATATTTTATTCACTTATTTCTTTGGATGATTTCAAGTTGTCTCCAGGTTTTTACTTTTGAGTACCATTTTAGTTAATGAGCATTTAACACACGTGTTTTAGTATACATATGCAAATGTTTTTCTTGAGTAATGTACCTGAGGATAGAATTGGCAGAGGTATAGAGTATCTGAATGTTCACCTTATATGAAATAATATCAAATTATTTCCAAAGAAATTGTCCCAATGGAACCATCTTAGGGATGCACATATCTCTTCACATTGGTTATTCTTGCTTTTCATTTTTGCCAACTGAATGGGTATAAAATAGTAGTGATGATGGTTTCAATCTACACATTCTTAGGGCTGAGTATCTCTTCCCATGTTTTGAACACATCTGCTTTCTCTTTTATAAAAATATTTATTCATGCTGTTTGTTACTTTTCTATACATTGTTTATGCTTTAATTGACAAATTATCTGTATATTCTTGATGCTGATGCTTTTTGTTCCTATATATTACTAATATCTTCTCCAGTTTGTACCTTTTCATTATCTTATACATGCCTATTGATAGATAAAAGCTCTCAATTTTCACATAATTATCTCAAAATATTTTAAAGAAATCCTTTCCTGTCCTTTGATCAGAAATCTAGTCACCTATAATACTTTACTAAGAATTTTTAAATTGTTTTTTAAATTAAATCCCTGATTTTTTTTCAATTAAATCCATGTGGAACTGATTTTTGTATATTAAATAAGGTAGAGATATAACACTGAATTTCTTAAGTTTCAGATGAGTCTCAACTTAAGGTAAATACCTTCCCTCTTCTTGGCCAAATATATCCTCATGATTCTTGGTGCTGTATTATTCTATATAAACCTGAGAATTGATACATCAAAGTCTATAAAAACCCTGTCGATTTTTTCATTGGATTTATGATTAACCTACAAATGTAACCTGGATCACTCTCTTTATGTTATTACATCTTCCTATGCATGGAGATGGTATATTTTTACATTTACTTTGGCCTTTGTTAATGTCTGTACATAAGGTTTAAAAATCTTCCCACAAATTACTTCCTGCATGGTTTTTGTGCTACGACCATGAAAACAATTTCTAAAAACAATTTAAACCGTTTTAAACATTTAATCTCCTCATTTTCTTTCCTATAATTTTGATTTTTTTTTAAATTGGGAAACCCCTCCATTTAAAAAAAAATAGTTGTTTATTTTCTTTAAAATCCAGTAATTTTACTCTACTCTATCTCCCCCATCAAAGCATATAGATATTACATATTAGATCCATCTCTCTTCTAACCTTTACTGAATCTTTTTGGTCTATAAGTAACTATATATTCTTAATGTTCCACCACCAGTTCTTATGCAAATGCTCATCTATTCAGTTTGGTTATTTGAAGTTCATGCTTGTGGGAACAAGAGTCCAGTGAATTCTTGAATGTCAGTCAAAGTTTGACTCTGGTCTTTGTATTTAAAAGTCAGTTTGAGTGAATACAAAATCCTTTAACTTGCATTTTCTCCCTTGAGTGTCATAAACTGCATTTCTCCATTTTCTCCTGGCATATAGCAGTGCAGACAAAGGCCGCATGGTCATGGCAATCTGTTTATTTTCCACTAGAAGCAATGTGATCTTGTTACCTAAATGCCCAAAGGATTGTTTTTTTCCTCTTTAAAATTCAGTAATTTTATTATGGTTTGTCTTGATGTTGGCTATTCTAGGTTGATATTTTTGGTAACATGATATGTTCCTTCTGTGTGTAGCTACAAATACTTTGAAAGTATTTGTTGTTTTTTGTTGTTGTTTTGTGTTTGCTAAACTATCTACCATGTTGACAGGCAATAAACGTCAGGCAAAGGTTAAAGGGCAGACCCTAGTCAGTTTGCTTCTTTTGGGTTTCTTTCTCAGAAATTGCTAGTTTCCACTTATTGGGCCTTTTTTTCAATCTTCAATATGTGCCACTTTCTCTTGAATTATTTTTTATCTCTTCGTTTAATTTAGATTATTAAAAGTTGTCTTCTTTTACCTTCTCTCTACTCAAAGGAACGATCGGTTGTGTTCATTTGCTCTTGGGCCTTCTCCCAGTTTAGTTTTCATTTCTAATTCATTTTTTAAATTTTTGTATTTATTTCTTTTTTGAGTTGTCCCTCAGTTATGACTTTTCTAAATCTGAGTTATATTGTTCTTTAATACCTTGCATCACTTTTTCCAAGTCTTTTGGTCTGTTTTGAAATAGTCTGTTATCTCACTGGCTCTTGCATTACCCATGGTTACATCCTCTTTTCCTTACAAGGTGGGGTTTGCCCATGCCCTTGCTATCATTTCTCAATCTGCTAGGAGTTTAAGTATTTGGGCTTTTTTCCCCAAAAAACAAACAAACAAATTTGGCTTTAAAATATTCTTTTAATTGTATCGTTCTTTGCTAATTGAATTTCTTTTTCTTTTTCTTTTTTTTTTAGAGAGAGAGAATTTTTTAATATTTATTTTTTAGTTTTTGGTGGACACAACATCTTTATTTTATTTTTATGTGGTGCTGAGGATCGAACCCAGCGCCCTGCACATGCCAGGCGAGCGCGCTACCCCTTGAGCCACATCCCCAGCCCAGCTAATTGAATTTCTGCTTTTATTTTCATTATCTGTTTTCTTTTGCTTCCTTGGATTTATTCTGATGTTCTTTATATTTTTGTAAGTTGGATACTGGTTCACAAATACAATGCTTAAAGACATAAATCTCCATTGAAATATCAATTTTATCATCTAAAATAATCCAGTAAATGTTGGCACTGGAATTCCTTTTTTATAATGAGCTATATATGATACCGTCTATAATCCATGAATTATGTGTTTTAAATTTTACTAATAGAAGAATCTTTGTCTCTTCATTATTAATTTCTAACAGATTTCACTGTGATCAGTAAAGCTGTCTATGTAATGCAGGTTCATTGAACTGTTGAGCTTTGTTTTGTGGTCTTATACCTTGCCGTCAGCATATGGTCTGTGGATTGAAGTGTCTGTCACCTCGGATATTTGTGGAAGTGCAGAATTTCAGGCATCATCTAGCATGCATGCATTGTAATTGTTCTGTGGATCTATGAGATGTGTTAGTTGTGTTGCTCAGATCTTTTATATCCTTGAGTTTTGCTAATCAGCCTACCAATAATTGGGAAGTATTTACAAAAATTACCCACTGTTTATAGAATCATTTCTCCTTATAGTAACGATAAGTTTTGTCTTAAGAATTTTGTGGATATTATCAAACTTATATTTTAAAATTGCTATACCATTTGTATGAGACTTCCTATATCTTTAAAAAATATTCATGTTGCTTATTTAAAGTTCTCAGTTTATTTGTTCTAATACCACTTGTCATGGTTTAGATTTGGAATGTCCCTAAAAGTCTCATATTTTGAAGGTATGGTCCCCAAAGAAGCAATGATCAGAGGTGAGGCTTTTAGGAAACAAATAGATCATGAGGGCTTTAACCTCCCTGAGTGGATTAATCCACTTGATGGATTAATAATTTGAATGGATCTCTGGGAAGTGGTGGAAACTATAGACAGGTAGAGCGTGACTGGAGGAAAGAAGTCACTAGGACATGACCTTGGGGACTCTATCTTCTCTCTGGATGCTCACCAACCCCTTTCCCTAGGGGACTCTATCTTCTCTCTGGATGCTCACCAACCCCCTCCTTCCTGGATGTCATGATCTGAACCACTTTTCTCTGCCATGCCCTTCTGCCACGATGTTCTGCCTCACTTCAGATTCAAAACAATGGAGCCAGCCCACGATGGACTAAAGCCTTTGTAACCAGGAGCCAAAATGGACTTTCATCCCTTAAGTTTTTTATATCAGGTATTTTAATCACAGTGATGAAAAGCTGACTAACACCACTGCTACACTGTTGACTGTAGATCAATTGGCTGTATTCCTGTTGTGCAGATCTCTCATTATTTTGGCATGTGAGCCTGACTTCTCCTACAAGTGGTGTCCAACAACTTGGACTTCTCCTAAAAGTGGATGCCATGTTGTCAGGGCACACTTATCAGGGGAAGATGTAATAGCCTGGGCCAAGTCTTGTGGGCAGGTGATGAGCTGAGGATCAGGAGATAGAGGCCCTAGGAAACCAGAATTAAGCACTCCTCCCTGCACCAGACAGCCCTTCAGCTCAGGGTTTCATGCTCATCCCTCAAGCAGCAGCATCAGGAGGTTAGATGGCAATCTACCAGCCTGGGGGTTCAGGGAAGAGGAGTGGGGAAGAGACTCTGCAGGTCTGTTGGCTCCATGGGTTTCCCTCAGCTGCTTTCAGTGTTCTGCCTCCCCTAACCTTACTCCTGGAGATTCCTGCTCCAGTGGTCTGAGTTTCTGCCAGTGTGTGTGGAAGGGAGGGTGTACAGAATTCCTTAGTTTTCTCTGAATCTTCATCCAGTGTTTGGGGGGAGGGAGCCATCATCCTGTCCTGGTTCAGTAATTCACTAGTAG